ATCTATCATCTGTCGCATCTTCAAAAATAGGGACAGGAGTCTGCCTACAAATTGCAGGCCAGTTAGTCTGAGGATTGTAGTGGTCAAACTCCTGGAGAAACTGGTGGGATATTCGTTCGATAGTCATCCGAGTAGATTTAATCAACTTAGCAAAGTACAACAGCGATTCCGGAAGGGATTTTCGTGTCTGAGGAATGTATTATTGTTTTAGGTAGAAATTCGTCACATCTACCTATACCATTCAACCCCCTCTACTACTCTTATGAATCTATTATTGGCTGTCGAAAGTTGGGCTTATGCATTGGATAACGTTCTGCACTGGACGTGCTTTTCGTCGACTTCTCGAAGACATTTGATAAAGTACCTCATTTGAGGCTCGCGCAATAGCTGACCTCATAAGGGGTGTCTGGTCGCACCCTCCATTGAGTGATTGCCTTCTTGGATGGTGGAAAACAGTGCGTACGGGTAGGCCGTGGCCAATCGTTTAAGCAGTCTGCCCTCAGGGGCGTGCCGCAGGGCTCGGTCCTTGAACTGCTGCTGTTCTCTATCTATATGAATGGCCTACTCGCGGACCTTGAGGTACCATCGCTGTTATTTGCTGATGACCTGAAGCTGTGGAACAGTGTCGATGTTCCTGGTGGAAGTTCATACTGATGTGGTTGCAATGCATCCAGTAGAAAATTCTGCACTCAAGCGTATAGAACCGTTCGACTTCTTAATCACGACGATTGAGGCAGCCCATGGTGGGAAATTCATTGGTTGAATCACGCCAATTTGCTGCATTCGGCCAGGCTCATGTTCAACAAGTACTTGTGATGCATACGAGACCGGGCGCCTGGGTCGAAACACTGGTGTAGCACAAGGTAACAGAGTGAGCTTTGTTTGCGTCTTGCTACAATGTCCAACTTCATGTTGAAAAAACACAAGCATACTTCGCCTGAAACTGTTCACCAATGGTTTGACTTGCAATAGATGGTATGGCTGTATGATGCACCATGACATACGTTTCAGAACACATGTTATTCAGTGGTATATTGAGCAAATTCTATCTATCAATCTAATCAGTGCCAAGAAGATTAATGTTAACACAAGAAACTAAGTAGATGGTTCCACGGAGGCTCAGATCTTTGAATTTAATGTCACATATGAACTCATCATCTAATCTCAGTCGTTCGCCAGACGCATTTTGGGCAGTCAAATTAATGCGTCTCAGTGGAGGTTTGCCAAGTCTCATTCATGATGGTCGAGAAATGATGGTAGTGTCCAATGCCGTATCTATTTGCAAGGATATGGGAACATGGTTAATTTTGACGGTGAGGTACTTTCGTTTGCCCGCAAATTCTGTGCGACAGGTCGCGAGAACTATTTTTGTCTTTGCTCCCTGAAACGACATTTTTTTGGGATTTAGAGTTCGTGTACAAGTGTGGGATAAACACAGACCTAGAAACGTACGTTTTGCTACTGTGTGATTCTTTGTGACCCAGACATTTGAACTTCTGACAAAGATGCTTCTTGTAAGTACAGAATCGCACAAAATGCCATCCACCACAGTTCCAGCATGAGGTCGGGGGTTTCTGGTTGGGTACTCTATGGCTCACATTTTTACCTCGAACAGCCGTGCGGTAAATCTGTGGTTCACTCTTAGGGTCAGCATTTTCAATCATTTTGGTATCATGCTTTAAGTTAATCGGTCTCTGGCATTCATCAGCAATGTCCTGTAATGTCAAATGGGGTTCCTGCTCTAACTTGTGTAGGATGCGTGTGCGCACATCAGCATCGGCATGAGACTGAAGACTGCAAAGAAATAGACTTTTAAACTGATCAGATGTCATTGTATCGAGTTTAAAACCTTCACACTCGCGGTCCACAACTCCAGCATATGTTAACAAATCATGGCCATCACGTTTGAGCAACTTTAAACAATTATAACGGATACTGAACAAAGATGCTTGCTCACCGAAGATGGACGTCAGAATTTGCACAGTCTCATCGAAGCGGAAATCTCTTGTATTCTTTGGCAACACAAAATTGGTGTAGCATTCATGCTCAACTATACCAAGTTTACACAGCAACAACTGAACTTTTCATGCATCATCTTGCGCCTCCAACTCAACACGGAAAATATCTTCATATTTCTTGGACTAGGAATCAAAAGTTACTCCGTTTGATTTATCAAAAACGAAATCTGTGATTGCTGTCGTGACCGTGTCTACTGAAGACCGTGTGCCAGCAGCTTGGGGCTCAGATTTAACGTTCAACTTTTGCGCAAATAACTTGAACAATTGCCTCTGGGATTTCTCGAACTGGAGCTGCTGTTGATGGAGAAGCTGCTGCATCTGCTCAAATGAAATGGACATTATTGTGCAACACCTCTGTCGCCAGAATCTGTTGTGTCCTCAGGGGTTCGACTTCGTAGCTTCTTAGATTGCGCATCGCGAGTCAAAAAACAACCCACCGGACGAGAAGTATATTTGCGAAACACAGAACAGGCCGATGTGGGAATGAATACATCTTGATTACAGTTCAAATCACGGATGTGTGCGAGTTTGAATTTATCGATCTCGAAGAATCACGGGACGTGTGAGTGGTATGAAACAAGCGATAGTAACCAGTGTTCTGCAACACAGAAAAGCACTAGTCTGCTTGTAACTGTGACTGTTCTGATACAAGGCACACAGTTACTTGGGGAAATTGCGCACTTACCTTCCCGAACAAGTAAATTTGTTTCGTTTCTGTACGCATTTGACATTGGTCTGTGTGAAATTCTGTTTTTTCATGCAAGTTACAAGATTTGGTCTGAATCAGAGGCGCCAACTGGACTTGATTCTCAGACAGTGCAATTTTCCTCGGAGCAGGCCGTTGGGGACCTAACAGAGGTCCCAGTAGAGGTTGCAATTCGCAATCCAAACACGCAGCTTGCTCCGTAAATTCACCTTTGTATTACTTTCCGCTGTGCCAAGCGTTGCTCGCGGATCTCAGTAGCTTAGTGTTCAGGGCGTCATCCGTGAACTACTAAGCTCTGAGCTCCATCTCAGCTCAGGTTATCTCCATCTGGCGAGTCCAAACCAGGACGCAACCGAGGTCGTGTGCCAGTGTTGGGAAGAGCAACACCCAAATGTTTCCATTCAGTATACGCTCCTCGAGATCAGAATGACCGAGGTTTACTTCAAACTGAACTGAGGTCTCAAAGGTTGCGAGTCGCAACCGAAACACAGCGTGCTCCTTAAATTTTTATTTGTATTGGATTTAATCAACTTAGCAATGTCCAACACGGATTCCAGAAGGGGTTTTTCATGTCTGACGAATCTGCTTGATCTTTGGGGTCGAACTCCCTCGTGTATGTCGCCAGGTTCATCTACGCGTCGTACACTCTTCGACTTTATACTCCGGCGACAACTGGAATACGGCCTCGAGCAGAGCGTTCCGTATGATGTGGTTAATACAACGTTCTTTCGGAGTCTTGACGGGCGGCATCTCTACAAGACTGTTCTCGGCTTTCGTTCGTCCTCATCTGGAATACTGCGTTCAGGCTTGTCTGCCCTGCCTCGTCCGGGACAAAATGGAGCTAGAGAGGGTTTTACGGGTGGGTACTATATTATTTGAGGGATTACGTGGACGGACTTACTCCGAGCGTCTACTTAGTTTTGGAATGTATTAAATGCACTACCGTAGGCTTAGTTGAGACCTAATCCTAACCTACCGTATCTTAACTGGGAAGGTTGGTTTAGATTTATCTTGGCTATTTAACCCTGCTAGATTGTTTGTTCTACGCAGTTACTCATTGAAGCTGGACAAACTGCAGTGCGATCGGATTAGGTTGGAAAGCTGGCTGTCACGCTGAGTCGTCGAGCGCTAGAACATGCTTCCGGAAAGTGTTGTCAGGGAATCTACGGTTAAGGAGTTTGAACGGCAACTTGACGCCTTTGGTTGACAACACGAAACCTTTCTTTTCTTGAGTAACTCGCATCTTCATGCTTCGATGTTCTTTTCTTCATACATTGGTATTATTTTCTTATTTTAAGTGCACTTCTTTGTTTTGTACCTTCGATTTCTCTTCCCCCCTTTGCTTATTTCACGTGACTGCCACAGCAGGGATTGCTAGAGCAGGAAACGTGGGCAGTAACTGGTTGGCAAGGGTGCGATACGGGTGTTCCGTTTTAGATCCGTCAAAAACTCTGAGCACTTCATCAATTCGTGGCTCCACGATCCACTCAAGGTGGAACACTCACGGGATTCTCCTATTGTTCCATTCCCACCCAGACTTGTACTTGAGGGTTTTCCGTCGACGGTGGACATGTATCTCAATATATTGTGTTGAGCCCTTTCCCTTCCCTAAGGAAACAAGTTCAATGTCCAATGCTGTGAGTGGGGATTAGACGAAAATGTCGCTTTTTTGCTTTTTTGAATCCTACTTCCCTTTGGTGCATATTATGTGTCATCGGAACTTTCATGGAATAAAATAACAGGATTAGAATATGCGAGGAAAGGTCACGGATCCCAAAGACAGACACATTCAAGCTTTGAGACGGCATGGGCAGTGCGCAGACTATGCCTTGCCATCTCACTGAGATACGATGTAAATTTGGGTCGTAAACTCTCAGCAACCTTACTTGCAAATGGTATTTTAATACACTAAACGACTTATGAGTAGTGGCAATCTTCACTTTGTTCTGGGATGTTCTAAGTCATGGTACACAAATACCTCGAGACCCCTCTGTTGGGTTGTTTTTGAAAAGAAATCCACCAGTGCGACGTTTCCTGAATCGTATGATCTGTGATCATCTGTTTTTAAAAATATCTTTGCATGGGAATGCTACGATATTCGTAACCCATAGGTGATCCTGTATCTAGTCTTGAAAATCTGCACTTTTTTGCACAATATATTGATCCGTTTGATGAACTCATCTGACCATTCTCAGTCATATTGAACTTAACCAATGCATCCTTCTGCTACCTTAAATCTAGTAACTCCAACAATGATTTCCTCGCTCGCTCTTACAGTTGGAACCTGAACTGAGAAGAGCACCTTACAATCGATAAAACTCCCATGATTTTACATCCTAACTGAACCATGCAGACTTTCCAAACACTTAGGAGCCGATGGAAAATGCAACATCCCCTCTTTGACGTTTAGAGAAGCGATCCCGTTTCTGTGATCCGCAGTTGCTCTCTTTTACTGAATGATCACATTGACTGAATCAACTGTTTCTACTCTGTTTAGACAAATCTCAAAGCCATGATATGTTGTTCATTGCAGTTTTGCTTAATTGATTATCGAACATCAGCTCTTTCAATCGGTCAGAATTCATTTAATGTTACCGAAATTATGCGGCTGTAAAGGCATTCGTGTGTGTGGTTTATGTTCCTCCGCGAACGCTGTGTTTCTAGTAGGTTCTTCCACTACGACCCCACTTATCTCTGATAGGACGAGAAAGATGGTCTGTGCTTCAACTTATGCTGCATATGTCGCCTAGCTTACCACCATGCTCACCAATGCGGTCTTTCAAAGAATGAAAACGAATTTCTCTTTACAAACGTGGATGTTATGCTCGATTTCGTTTCCGAATCCGAAGAGTCACTGCTCATTGATTCGCTGGATAAGGACCCTTGGAGTTTATCACAGTCTGGACGCCGAAAACAGGTAAGTCGGGCGACATTATTTTTGTAGCCCATTTGATTCCAGACTGGTTGTGAAATAACGGACTGTTTTTGCGTACGCCTGTCTTTCCGTGGTGTAGTGATTTCAATGTTTGGCTTTCTGTCAGCACCTTGGATTAAAACCTTTACCTCTGCATGAGTCTGGGTGTCATGGTTCTCATCCCACACTGCCGCTTGATGTTGCATGGAACAAAGCACTAGCACGAGGCACGAGTAAATCTTTAGGCTTTATCAATGATCAGCAAATTGCTTTCGCATCTGGATTCGGCTTAGTTGGACGCTCATTAGTAAATGTGGCTAAAAACAGCGCAATCGTGAGATTGCGGTTCGTTGATCTGATGTTGCCGAACGGTCTGCTGTAGGCCCTTAATTGGGAATAGTTGTGGTTTTGTGACTAAGCAATTAGGATACAATAGAATAGTATCGGTATATTTCTAGTACTAACGAGAAACGCTGTCCACTAAGGGATGGATCATATTTCTAGATACATGCTCACACAAACGGAGCTGTCGGTGATATTGGTTCGCGCATGGCTACAGTAGGATGGCTTTGCTAAAGGTCCTCATTTCGATCTTCCATCGTTCTTTTTCACCAATTCATTCATTTTTTCAATTGTTTCATTTCCGTGCATATCGGGGACCAAGCTAAAAGAAAAATGGCTATTAAGGACGTTATTATTATTATTAGACACGAAAACGCACTCGCAGATGAAGACCTGCAGTGAAGACAATGGGTTAATTAGGAAACAAGTTATTAGTGAGAAAATGGGTGATAACTACGTCTGATACATTCATGTGGATCCTTTTGACCTATTAAGCTTTTAGCCACATGAGTCGACTGCGGGGAGAAACTATACTCAGCTAATGGGAAAATTTAAAGTAATATATAGTTCTGATCCTTACCAACACTTATTGTCTGCTTGCCATGATCAGGCAAGATGTATTATGGGCTATAGAACTATTAAGTGGCGAGTGGGTTCGAGAGCCTTTCAGTCTTCACTTTCAGGTTTGGCTTCAAGCTTTGCATAGACGTACAAAGTAAACAAGTACTATTGACATGGGTAGAAGAAATAAAGCGCTCCGATTGGTTTCTGATATTAGAATGCACCTGAGGGCACGACTATCCAGGTGAGCATGGTTAAGTGAAATATTGTTTGTGCTACTGAGTGAAAGGTAAGATACACACGGTTTAAGCGCTTTTTAACCTTCACTTACAATTTGGACTTCCGGGTTGATACATCCGTGTAGAACACAATATATGCATAATCTCTCGTATATTGTTTGGGTCGGATGCTATAAACACAGCTGTGGCCACTTGAAACCCAAAAGTTTTCACTATCTGCCGCATGGTAGGAGAATTCAGCATTGGTCTTAGGTTTGGATAGGCTCTCAGTTGCCTGCACTTGTAACGGTAGCATACTTTACTAGGAAATATTTTCTTGTACGATGAATCTTTTCATCGGAGCCATTTTATTCGTCTTTATGCGGTGCTATCTGTTGCTAACAACCTCTGCATCAGGTAACTGGTTTGACTTTTTTTGACCCCCTCTAATCATCTGAACTTGGCTTTGCTTGCTTCAGCTTATCGGAACACAATCTACCGCTAGTTTGAGGATGATCGATTGCCCAATCGCTTGTGACTGTACCGTTTCGATGACCAAACTCACGATTTTTTCCATCATTCCCTTTAGGAAACTGACTGGCTTCACTTGTTTATTTTGTCCTGCTACAACCTGCGTTTTTCATCACGCTCCTTGTTTATTTTTCCCACTCCATCCCCATCTCATCATTTTACACACGTTAACTAGAGGTGTTAGAGGCTATTGTGCAACCAATCCATATGATGCAAAAGAAAAAATCGAACAAAACAACAAAAATAACATGCCTTATTTTATGCATTGACGATGAAACCGGGGTTGCGTAGTCCGCACCTGACCATGTAAGCAACTCTATTTAAACAAACGTGTTCATCATCTTCCCAACCTCCACCGAGGAGTCAAGAGGCTGCAACAGGGCCAACTTCGAAATAAGGGATTTGACCAAGTCATCGGCTGGACTACCCTACCCTATTTCCATCCAAATTTAGGTCAAGCAAACGGCACCGGAAACAAGCGAAGTATCTTTACTTGTCAAGCCGTCTGATGGTTGTACGAAAGCGAAGATTCCCACGCGCACTACTTGTCAGTCGAAGTTGCCGGATATCTCGGCTCTCACCGATAAGGCACGTTCTGACGGTTTGCTTAACTCTACTCAAAGCGACAAGGCGTCACGGGACCCTTCTCCCGTTATCAAGAAGAAAAAGCAGACCAACTCTGCCATCAATCCTTTCCGTGGACTCGATGACTGGAAAAATAATGAGACATCGACATTGGGGCGAGAAACATACGCTGCCGTTGTTATATCATTTGAGGGGATAAGGACAGTCCCATCACCAGTGGTGAAGCCACCTGCAAGTGTCGAATCAAAGACCCATGAAGTTAATACACCCCGTCGTGGTGATTCTTTCACCACGGCTGTATCCACTGCTGTCCTTCCTGCTGCTCGCATGTTGGACGATCTTCAGTGGTTTGAAATGTGCGTAACGAAGCTTTTTCCGCCTGGTTTCCAAGGCGTTACTATCAGGAAGCTGATTAGACTTGGGAACGTCGCAGTTAATGCACCAAAGACTCGACTGCGGCTACTTCGGGTTGTATTCTCTATCCCGAAGGAACGCAACGTTCTCATGCGGTTTGCTTTTAAGCTGCAAGGTACTAATATTAGTGTTCAACCGGGCCTTCCGATGGCCGATAGGCTGAAGCTAAGAGATTCCATCAAGGACCTCAAAAGCAGGCGAGCGGTTGATGAAGGTCTCCGATTAGTGGGTTTTCGGGTGGACAGCCGTCGGTCCTTTTCCGCGCTACCACTGCCCATTCTGGTAGCGCACGACCCAGTTCTGGACTAAACGAATACCTTCAGATAGTGCTATGTAATGTGCACAGTCTAAGGAATAAGATGTAAGAGTTAGGTGTGCTTTTATATGGATCTCATACTGATATACTCGCACTCACTTAAACGTCACAGTCTTAGGTCTTTGCGGATAGTGAATTACATCTATCTATCTACGCATTATTTAGATGCGATCGCTCTGCTGATCGGCAGGGAGGAGGCATCACTCTTTATGTAAGCTGTAAACTGCTCGTTTCGAAGACTTGCTTATTTCAGTCGGCAGAGAAAACTGTTGAAGCTCTGTGGGCTGCGATTAGCACATCCTCGAGTCAGGTTACAGTTGTAATTGTGTATAGAAGTCGTGGGAGCGTATCCAAAGTGGTATTTGACTTTATTCGCTCCCAGTCCGCAAACAGGTGTTTGATGATGGGCCACTTCATCCTGCCGGAGGTTTGCTGAGCAGATCTTTCTTGCAACTCAGCGTCAGGCCCATTCGGCACTGATCTACTTGATCTTACGCTCCAGGTACCGTTGCATCAGTTCGTTGACCTTCCCACTAGGTACATGGACGCCCAAGTACCGTCTATGTTAGACGTTGTATTTGTTAAGTCACTCGATTTTGTTGGTGACATTACTTACGGACCTCCACTGGGTTCCAGTGATCGTGTTTGTTTGCTCTGTACTGTTGAATCTCGCCCGAACATATGGCACGCAGACTATCAATCAATGATAGGCAAGGCTTTGGGTTTCCATTGTGAGATTTCAGGCGATGATACTGTCCAGGTTGTCTGGGATAAAGTTAAGTCCTACCTCACAGAGCTCTCTGTTATCTTCATCCCGGTCACAAGCAGAAAGGAGACGCGAGCACAGCCGTGCTGGATAGATTCCACTGGCAGGCATCTGCTCACAAAGAGGTCTAAATGTTAGCGGACTTACCGAGATGCTCCATCCACCGATACTTATGAAGGTACCGTAAGACTAGAACTAGGTGTAAGCAACACCTAAGGAATGCTCAGCTCAATTTCGAGACATGGCTAACAGGCGAAGCTTCCGGGAACCCCGAAAAGACTCTTCGCATATGTCAAAAGATGCTGCAGTTCGAACACGTCAATTCCAGTGTTGATGGGTGATGACGGTACGGATGCTCATACGGACTATGACAAGGCCTGCGTACTTAGTGGGCAATATGCAGTAGCATTTGTAAAGGAAACCTCTTAGACAGGCCTTGAGCTGGTTTGTAGGATCCCAGAGGGTTTGGGCCTGTCAGAATTTATTGTAGCGGAGACGGAAGTTCGTAGGCTGTTACACGGGCTGAACCCTTCTAAGACCCCTGGGTCTGATTTAATTCACCCGAAAGGGTTGCATGAGTTGGCTGCGGAATTAAGTGGACTGCTCGCTATGGTGTTTCGGAAATCGCTTGACAGGTGTGCATTACCTTCCGAATGGAAGGAAGCTGTCATCTGTCACATCTTCAAAAATGGGGACAGGAGTCTGCCTGCAAATTACAGGCCAGTTAGTCTGAGGAGTGTAGTTATCAAATTCCTGGAGCGACTGGTGGGAGATTCACTGGAGACTCATTCGAGTAGATTTAATCAACTTAGCAAAGTACAACAGCGATTCCGGAAGTTGTTTTCGTGTCTGATATATCTGTTGTTGTTTTAGGTAGCAATTCATCACATCTACCTATACCATTCAGCTCCTCCTCCTACTCCTATGCATCTAGTATTGGCTCTCGAAAGTTGGGCTTATACATTGGATAACGGTCTGTACTTTATGGGCTTTTCGACTTGTCGAAGGCTTTTGATACGGTACCCCATTTGAGGCTCGCGCGAAAGCTGACCTCTTAGGGGGTGTCTGGTCGCACCCTTCATTGGGTGACTGCCCTCTTGTATGGTAGAGAACAGTGCGTACGGTAGTAGGCCGTGGCCTATCGTTCAGGCAGTCTGTCCTCAGGGGCGTGCCGCAGGTCTCGGTCGTTGAACCGCTGCTGTTCTCTATCTATGTGGATGGCATACTCTCGGACCTTGAGATACCATCGCTGTTATTTGCTGATGACCTG